GGGCTCTAGAATACTACACTGCGGGTCAGCACTTTCTGCTCAGTGAGAAATCATAGCTGTGACCCAAACTTTGCACCCCAGGATAACTGTTCTCACTCTGAATTTGCCAGACCTAAAACTCTCAGGTGCCAAAAATCTTGATCCGTTTACTGCTGGAGTGTGGTGTTTCCCATTGCGCTCTCGCGCTCTCGCTCGCTCTCTCTCGCTCGCTCTCTCTCGCTCGCTCTCTCTCTCTCTCTCTCTCTCTGTGTGTGTGTGTGTGTAACCATATACATGTGCACACATATGCTCACACCCGTGTGTACACACATGTGGAAGACAGAGAACAACTCCAGGCACTGTTTCTTGGGAGCTTCCCACATGCATATTTTAAAAAGATTTTATTTTTTATTTTTAGTCTGGGGGGGTGTTATATGTATATGAGTGCAGGATCCCACAGGGCCAGAGGTGTTAGAACCTTCTGGAATTACAGGCAATCGTTGCTGCTTGACATGGGTGCTGGGAACCAAACTCATATCTTCTGCAGGAGCAATCTGCGCTCTTAACCGCTGGTCAGTCTCTCCACTGTGGTGTTTTGAAATGTGCTCTCTCACTGACCTTGAGCTAAGCAGTTGATCTATGCTGGCTAGTCAGCAAACCCTAGGGGTCCACCCATTAGGGGTCCACCTGCCTCCACCTCCCCAGCTCTGGGATTACAGATGTGTTCCCTTGTGCCTGGCCTTTTATGTGGGTGCTGGGAATCAAACGTGGGGCCTCATGCTTGTGCAAGAAGTACTTTACCAACTAGGTCATCACCCCAGTCTTTGAAATTACTTTATGAAGTAGTTGGGACATCACAGCCTCATGTTACAAGATTGAAACGCAGTTCCCCAGGTTCTTCATGTATGGCGTCATGGCCCCAAGCAGACAGTTGCGTCAGGGAGGGAGGTCATGGACAGGGTGGTTAAGGCAAATGGGGACATTTAACCATTCTAAGTTCAGTTCAGCATGATAAATTATTTTCGCAGGATTGCAGCACCGTCACCATTATAGATTTAAAACACGTTTCCATGTCTTTAGACATAAACTTTGAGCCCCAGAGATGCCTCAGAAGTTGAGTGCTTGCTCCATTTGCAGAGGACTTGAGTTCAGTTCCCATCAGGCAGCCACCTGTAACTCCAGCTCTGGAGGCTCTGATGCTTCTGGCCTCGGAGGACACCCGCACCCAAACATGCTCATGTGCCCACATGGAAAACACACACACGTAAGCCTTGGTGGCTCCTGAGCAATAGTTCTCTATTCTCCCATCCCGTGCTCCCTGGCAGGCTCTTGTTTATTTTCTGCTGTTTAAGAGTTTGCCTATCTAGGAATCCTGAAGAAGATGGGGAGGAAGGATTGTAGGAGCCAGAGGGGTAAAGGACACAAGGAAACCCACAGATAACTAACTGGGCTTGTAGGGGCTCACAGAGACAGAACTAATAACCAGGGTGCCTGCATGGGACTGACCTAAGCCCTCTACACATATGTTATGGTGTGTAGCTTGGTCTCTGTGTGGGACTTCCAACAGTGGAAACAGGGGCTGTCTCTGACTCTCTTGCCTGCTTTTGGACCCTTTTCCTCATTCTTGGTTGCCTTGTCCAGCCTTAATATATAATAATATATATTAATAATAAAATGCGAGGAGGGGCCTAGTCTTACTGCAACTTGATATGCCATGTTTGGTTGCTATCCATGGGAGGCCTGCCCTTTTCTGGAGAGAAATGAAAGAGTAGATGGTGGTGGGGGCCATGAGCAGAGGGGGGAGGGAGGGACTGGGAGGAGGAGAATAGGGAAGGGAAACAGAGGTCAGGATGTAAAACAAAAATAAATACGTTTGCCTGTCTAGACAGCACATTAAGTGGCGTCATGCAGTACGGGTTCTTCTGTGTCACTGGGCTCACTTAGCATGGTGTTCTCAAGGTTCATTTCTTCTTCAGGCTGCATAAATATTGCACTCTGCACTCTGCACTCATTCCCCAGGCCCAGTCCTCTGCAGTGTGGAGCTGAGCTGATTCCCCCTTGGGGTTATCAGGAATAATGCTGTCACCGACATTGGTATCCAAGTGTTCATCAGTGTCTCTGATTCCACGTTTCGAGGTCATATACCTAGGAGCAGGGTTAGTCAGTGTTTTCTAGAGAAACAGACCCGATAGAATGAATATAAGAGATTTATCAGCTTATGCAATGTGAGTCAAGTTAGCAACACAGCTGTCTCACTTCTGAGAGGTCGAGGAACCAGTACTTTCTCAGTTCAGGAGAAGGCTGTGTGCCTCAACAGTTCCGTCTGGCACTGAAAACCTGGAGGGGTCCTGGAGAAACAGGGTAAAAGCTGGCTCTGGGGTCTGTGAAGGACTCCTCAGCAGCAGTGGGGCAATTAATGCCTCTGCCACAGGCAAGGTCAGCGGAACAAAAGTGAATAATCTCCGCCAGCCGCTTTTCATCAGGGCTGTCACCAATCCCCCCTCTCTTGACAGTCGTTTTCCCACTCCAGTTAAGATAATTCTGCAACTGAGGCTCCCCGCTCAGG